ATATTATGGAAATGGCTAGGTGTCTGCTGCACAAGAAGAATTTGCTAAAGAAGTTCTGGGCAAAAGCAGCAAATACAACTGTCTTTTTGCTGAATAGGTTGCCTACAAGGGTTGTGGATAAGAAAACTCCATATGAATCGTGGGTTGGTGTGAAGCCTACTCTGAGGAACCTTAAAGTGTTTGGTTACCTATGTTTCTTTCATGTTCCACAGGTTAAAAAGGACAAGTTGGGAGAGAATGCTGAGCCAGGAATTTTCATTGGCTATATAGTCTGGCTTGTAAGGCCTACAGAATTTTTTAGCCTTAGACTAGAAAGGTAGTGACTAGCAGAGATGTTCAGTTCCTAGAAGATGAGCAATGGGATTGGACAAAAAAATCTCAAGTCAAGCATCAGGAGTCACTAGAGCCTAATGAGTTGATGGATGATCAACTAGTTAGAGGGAAAATGTCACTTGCAGATATATCCCAGAGATGCAATGTGGCTGTTTTGGAACCTGCAGGATATAAAGAAGCTAAAGGAGATAAAAAATGGTAAGCTGCAATGAAAGATGAGCTATTTATGATAAAGAAGAACCAAAATTGGGAGTTGGCAGAAAAGCCTTAAGATAGGAAGGTGATTGGATTTAAGTGGGTTTTTAGGACAAAACTTAATCTTTATGGCTTAGTGAACAAATACAAAGCCAGATTGGTGGTAAAACGGTATGCCCAGATTTGGCGAGTGGATTTCTCAGAGACTTTTGCATCAGTAGTCAGATTGGATACCATCAGAATGTTATTTGCTTTGGCAGCTCAAAAGGGATGGAAGGTTTACCATTTGGATGTAAAATCTGCCTTCTTGAATGGTGTACTTCAAGAGGAGATCTATGTTGAGCAGCCAAAAGGTTTCATTATACTAGGCTAGGAAGAGAAAGTATATCTGTTAAAGAAGGCTTTGTGTGGTTTAAAGCATGCTCCTAGGGTTTGGTATAGTAAGATGGATGAGTACTTGCTAGGCTTAGGTTTCGAGAAAAGTCTAAGTGAATCAACACTCTATATTAAAAAGGTTGCTTTTGACATAGTTGTTATTTCTTTTTATGTTGATAACATGCTGGTGACAGGGACTGATGGTGCTCAGATTGATACATTCAAGCAGGATATGATGAAGGTGTTTAATGACTGATCTTGTTGAGATGGCTTATTTTCTTGGGATAGAAATCAAGCAAGGTCATAATGAAATTTTTATATGTCAAAAGAAGTATCTAAAGGAGATTCCAAGGAGATTTGATATGGAGAAGTGCAAAAGTATGAGTACTCTAATGAATCAAAAAGAGAAGTTGTAAAAATAAGATGGAGCTGAACGTGTAAATGAAAGTGTTTACAGGAGTTTGATTAGTTGCCTAATGTATCTCACTGTAACCAAATCAGACATCATGTTTCCTGTAAGTGTCTTGTCCACGTTTTTCAATTGTGCTAATGAGTTGCATATGGTGGCTGTAAAGAGAGTGTTGAGGTATCTCAAAGGTACTCTTTCATATAGAATCAAGTTTTCCAAGGTTCAGATGTTTAAGCTATAGGGATATTTTGACAGTGACTAGGCATGATCAGTTGATGATATGAGGAGCACATCTGGATATTGTTTTTCATTTGAATCTCCTTGTTTTTCTTGGTTTTCAAAGAAGTGGGAGATCGTGGCTCAATTAACTGCAGAAGCTGAGTTTATTGCAGCAACTATAGCTGTGAATCAAGTTTTGTGGTTGAAAAAGCTAATGGATGAACTGCATTTGAAGCAAGAACAAAGTATAGAACTATTTGTGAATAATCAGGCCACTCTAGCCATATCACAGAATCCTGTGTTTGTCAAGTATTATTTCTTGAGGGAAGGGCAAAAAGTTGAAAAGGTAAAGCTAGTGCATTGCAGCATAGAAGATCAGATTGCAGACATATTTACTAAGTCTTTTCATGTTGGTCGATTTGAGTTTCTTATAGCAAAGTTAGGTGTGTGCAGCTTATGATCTAAGAGGAGAGTGTTAATGTTTCATGAGTTGACGGTTAGTGATGTTTGATGTCGTTTAAATTGATTATGGTCTGTTCTAGTTCCTAGGAATCATTAGCTATTATGATTTCTTGTTTTTAGATAAAATCTATTCTGTTCTGTTGCTATTTTTCAAGACAAGGTAGTTAGAGTTAACGTGTCTTAGTGATAGAAATGCTAAGTTTGTTCAACTTTTAGTTATCAGAGTCTGTATATATGTTGTCCTTATGTCTTTTAAAAAAATTTCCACTTCCTTCTTTCAATTTTCTATCGAGTGTTGCTATTGTAAAATTTAGTTTTATTGCAGATTTTTTTCCTTTAAACAACAAAAATTTTATTTTTTTCCAAGCTATATGATCTGTACCCATTTGATTTCAAATCATAGCTAATAAAAAATACATTTCTCGCTTGTTTTATCAAGTTCACACCCCTTTTTCCTTTGAAATTTGAGCATAGCAAATGCCCCCAAAAATTTTCAAATGTCTCGCCGAAGGCTATCATGCATAGCAAGCTTCCAATGGAGTTTAATTTGCATGACTTTTGTTAGACATCTGTTCATCAAATAAATGGCAATGTTGACAACCTCAGCCCCCAAAAAAAATTTGGCAAGCATTTATCTTTGAGCATTGTTCTGATCATTTCAAACACCGTTTGATTCTTCTTTTCTGTAACTCTATTTTGTCTAGAGTGTACCCAATGATGAGCTGTGTTTCCATGCCTTCCTCTTCACAAAATTTTTCAAATTGTCATGAGATGTATTCTTTACGCCTATCACTTTTCAAAACTTTTATATAATGGCCACTTTGTTTCTCAACATAATTCTTAATTTTTCTAAAAACATCATAAACTTCAGATTTTGTTTCAGAAAATAGACCCATGTCATTCTTGTATAATCATTAATGAACAAAATAAAGCACATGTTGTCACCTTGAGAAAGAGTCCTCATTGGTCCACGCAGATCCGTGTAAACTAACTGGTCTTTGGCTCTCCGTGCTCCTCTTCTTGGAAAAGGGTCTTGATGATACTTCCCCTTTGCACAACTTTCACATACACCACGCTTCTCTTCAATTTTTTCAACCCATGAACCATGTTCTTCTCTTGAAGTTTAGCTTATGGAGATGCAAGTGTCCCAGCCATCTATGCGACAACTAAGACTCATTTTTAACTTGTACTTTTAAAACAATATCTGTATACCATAGTTGAAAGTCCACTTTTTACATTTGTATTTTTGTAACAAGTTTCTTTCCCTTCTTCTTGTCATAGATTATGTGGCCACCGTCTTCAAAATAGACAGCATATCCATTATCCAAAAGTTGTCCAACACCAGGTAAATATTGGTCCAAGTTGAAAACTAGTAGCACATCATGAATAAGTTTCATCCCCTCCTTTGTTTGGATATGAAATTGAGTATTTTCCAATTACTTGAACAAGAATAACATTTCCCATTTTGACTTGCGCATTCTCTCCTTCATCCATCTTTGTACTCGAACAAGAATAACTTTTCCTAACAATAACTTTGACCTTCCTTTTCTAAGAACACTCCAAATCCCTAAGCTCTACCTCTGGGATAATGATCCAACAATAGTTCTTTCCAGGAAAACCCTACTATCCCTCCTCAAGAATTAACTCCACTTCTTGAAGTACTTGCTTTTTTCTAGACACAAACGAAGAGCTCCTTGTTCTCCTGGCTAGCCCTCTTGCTTCCACTACTGAAAATGGTTGGGCACCTTTCAAACTCTCTTGAGCTAAAGGAGGGGATGAGTGGGGAAAGGGGTAATTGGAGAGGGGATGAGTGGGGAAAAAGGCTGGCTGCAGGCAAGAGCTGACGGATATTGTTCAGCAAGGAGGGCGAGGGAGAGATTTCGGTTGGAGAAGCTGACTGTTCATTGTCGTCAATCTACCACCAGATACAGCAGTGGCGTCACTATGAAGGATTTGCAGTAAATTTGTTGAAGTCCAGGATACAGACATACATACATACATATCAAAAAAGATGAGAAATTTGAATAAGAAAGCCTTTGAATTTGTCAGTGTGTTTACAATTGTGGAGGATAAAACCCTGCTTAACAAATGCAACTGTCATTACTTTTAGGAAGGATTTGTGAGTGTTTAATTGGTAGATAATTATAGATGATTGTCTTAATTAATTAATGCCCAAATATGTTTCTTAATTTTAGGAGGAAAATTAATCTGTGAAGTACAAAGCTTCATTTTATATAATTTACCCTTTTATATGCAACCCTTATGTTTTCAAAGCTATAAAATTAGCAGTTTCAATGAAAAAAATAACAATAAATAACAATAACCTAGGCTTCTGTGCTTGACTGCCCCCTCTCTCTCTCTCTCTCTCTCTTCTCTCTCTCTCTCTCTCTCTCTCTCTCTCTCTCTACCATATCTAGATTCCCCTTTTGTTGCAACTTGCAAGAATCTTTGTAGCTCAAGGAGGAAAAATTCCAATATCAGACAGCAATACGTCTGGTATTGGAGCAGAAGAATTACATTATTCTTCAAGACAAGGCTTTAAGTTCTTTAACCTAATTGGAGAAATCGCATCATAGTTTGTAGACCTAACTTGTATATCATTTCAAACGAGTTGAGTTTTTACACTAAGTAGATTTCATTGACACTCATTAAGAAGTATAATATAGAAAAAACAGTGAGTGGCTGTAGGTGGGAGAGCCTAAAACCAATATACGTATAATTAAAATGTATTTTCCCAAACAAGAATCAGATATATTTACTCTTGCTCGAACTAGTACCGACAATGTATCAGTAGAATTTGCCTAATTGGTGGAGTCAGTTCCAGGGTTTTTACTAATCTTGGACTCTTAGTACTATCTTCTTCCTTTATCCCCTTCTTTAATTATGATGGCAAATTTAGATCTACAAGATAACCACTACTTTCAAGAAACCAACGAGAGAGATAAGCTATCATCTACTTCACCACCTTCACCAGGCGCCTCCTCGTCAACCTTCTGCCTTCTTGATATCATGCTAGAGAGAGATCAAGGTCAAGGTCAAGGTCAATTAGGTCATTCTCCATCTGGGCTTTCCTCTTCATTGTGGTTCTCTTGTCTGCCATTGCCATGATTGAGTTGCTAAAGCAATTTGAATGATCTTCTCGACTAATTTGATGCCACTTCATAGTGGAAGAGGGCTCTAAATGTTTTAGTAAGCTGGGTCTTTTGTTTATACTGGCTTCCGTTTTGTTTAGCAGGGTAAGATATTCTCCACTGCTTCTATTTACACCAATTCCCCTACCGAAACTCTTGTCTGCTAAACCAAGAAAGCCTTCTCCTGTTCTGGCTTTCATGTAATTATCCCTTTCACAAGAAATATCCCCAGCTATGTCAGAAAATAAATGAAGAATAATGTTTATGTTCTTGTTCATACAAAATTTGCTTGCAGAAATTGAATCTGTAATACCTGTAATGATAAGATCTATACCTTGGACCGAGCATTAAATAGGGTTGCCAAGGGTTGTGGCATAGACACCCTCCACCATTTATCACTACATCACGTCATTGACAGAAGACAAATTCAAACTTAAGTTGACATGCCTGGATTATCAGAAACAAATCGAAGAAAAAGGGGAATAAAAAAGCCATTTACCTTGACCGTGCTTATCAATCTTGTTTCGATACATCTGTTACACCAAAATTATCAGTAAACTATATTGATTAATTAAAAAGCTAAAGTCACTATTTTGATTTTCATTTTCCCTTAATTTTGATGCTGAATAATTTGCTACCTGCAAGTGGCTCTTCACGTGGGCAATGGCAAGGCCCTTGACATTCATCAGCTGCAGAACCAACTTGGGTGTTGCTCCTATGACATGGGAATAGATTATCAAAAGGAAATTAGCTATATCCGTAGCTTGTGCTTCCAATTAGCTTGGAAAAGATGGTGGTTTTTTTTAAAAGGCAAATAAATATTATTTTGAATTTATTTGGTCATCTCAAATTCAAGTTATTGGAGTTTTTTGAACTTAATATATTCTATTTTTAAGTTCAAAAAACATAAAAATTAAAATGTTACAATTTCTGTCTCCTAACCTTGAAATTCAGAAATTATATTATCTTAATTTTTTAATTTTTGATTGTGCCTAAAAAGTTGAAGAAAATAAGTAGAGAAAACAGGAGACCAAACAAACTAATAATGGGGTTCTAAAGTTTTAACCTTAACCATGAACCATGATGTATGGATAATCAAAGAACTGAAGTCCAGGACTTACTCTCATGGCCACCGAGTCGCTCTACAGCTTGAACAAAGCAACGATGAAGATCAGGAGTCCACCTTAGCCTTGGCTCCTTAGATCTCACGTAATGCCTGACCCCGTTGGAGGCCGGCCTCTTCTCTGTTTCCTCCTCACCCACACTTCTGTTGCTCGAGCTTTCACTTGTTTTTGACTTAACACAAACCTCAATTTCCCCCGTCTCCTCCATATGTCTTTCTAAACTTGAAGCTTGTAAGATACAGCTACGCCGAGACTATCCAACTAGAAACAATTGGCAGGCGCACACACATATTTATAAGACATCACCGGGACCATCATCAGATGATTCAGGTAGATATTGTTCCTCTTGCCCGTTCTGGCATGCGTAAGATAGCTAGTTTGGAAAGCATACTGAAGATTTCTTCATCTGGGGCTAATTAGGTCACTGTGTTGATGAAAATAGTAAACCTAACTCCTAACACGCCGATAGACCGGTCCACACGCATTCCTAATTCAATCTTTTCTATATTACTTTATGCTCTTTTTCTTTTTAAAAAGGATTTGTTTATGTTGAGAAATGGAAAACCCACCAACTGTGATGTCATATGACCTTGTAAGAACACGGGTTAAATAGTATAATTAAGGTATATATACAGTTATGTTCATGAAAACATGTTTTCATAAAATATTTATGTTTTATGTTTTCATAGTAAAGGAGAAATGGTACAAAACCCTAGACACGTAAATGGTGGGGAAGGAGTTGGGAAGTCTGGGCTCGCAGATATTTGTCCTTGCTTCTTACCTATGAACCCTTCTAGAAAAACAAAAAGTCTAACCATATCTTTGTAATTATCGGTAGACGACGTAAACATAAAGACAGTTGATAAGATGGTTGTTTTTAGTCCTAGAGATTATAAATACATGTAAAGATTTTCATATTCCAATTTATGGGGTCATTCCCAAGGCATCTTTTGAGGACATCTTCCTAGGGTTTTCTGGTTCATCTTGTTTCTTTTCTATGGAAGATAATAATCAATATGAAGCTTCTTCAAGTGCATTTTACAGTCAACATCCTGTGGCGTGGAGCGGTAGCCCTAACGAAGTATGTTTTTGATGGTAAAACCCTAAAAAATGGCCTTGCGTATGACAGTAATTGTCTGTTTTTGCCTTGTTTTGGTCATAAATAAGACAGTGAATTTCTAAATAAAAATTGTTTTCTGTTTTCAAAACAGACCTGTTGACAAATTGTTCTCGAACACCCAGATGATAAATATGCATATTATTTTTGTAATTTAATCGTCTCTAAATCCACTTTTATAAAAATTAAGATGCTCTATTTTAAATTTCAAATTATTAAACTTTAAAATATATACAAAATTCTTCATATTTATTGAAAAATACAACACTGTTCCAATATTATTGGTATTTTTTTTCTGTATTATACTAGCATTATTGATTTAATATATTAAAGAAATTAATTTTCTTTGAGGAAAATATTCTTTTTACTATATTTTTAAACGAATTTTTCAATAACTAAAATGGCTCGAAAACTACTTTTGGGAGATTTTCTAAGTTAGATAACAATAAAAATTTATATATTTTGATTAAAAAGAACAAGAAAAATTTATGTTTTCATCAAGAAAAATGAAAATGGAAAGTAGAAGTTTGTTCTATGATTGTGCCATTTTAGGCAGTTTGTCACACTGTTTGGAATTGCCAGAAAAAATGAATCCACTGGGTGAACTGCTTGAAACAACTTGAGATTGATCTGTTCTAAAAGTTCTTATCTTGGAGAAATTATTTAAAATCCTTTAAGTTTTGTTTTGTTTGGCTCTTTGAGACCTAAAAAGACCTCGATGGAGGTCAACTCTTACGTTTTCTCACATTATCTTATTGCATCAGAGTACAACTCATCCAAAATATTTTAATTTAATTTGCATGAGAGCACGTAAAATGCCCTACCAATGCAGATCCATCCATTATTCTAGCATAAGCATGTTTGTCTTTTATAACGTTCCCATGCCTTCACCTTTATACTTAAATATATTTATCATAGGATCTAATGAAAAATTTATAATACTTTCTTCCACTTCAATTCTTACTTTCACTATTCTACTTATCTCTTCAATTCTTACTTTCACTATTCTACTTATCTCTAATGAAAGTATTTGATGTAAATTATATTACTATCAGACTAATTCCTCATAATTAGTTATTACATTAATATTTTATAAAAAATATAATTATTAGAATATGCAGTAGTATTGTTTATATTCTAATATCTTACTTTCTTTATATGCGATATAAGATACATGACATATGTCATAACTTGTTTATATTCTAATTTTTTACTTCTTTATATTTGATATAAGATCCATGACATATATCATAACAATTGGCATGTTATTATCTCATCATCCACTTAAATTTTGACATGTATATTGATTGTTAGAATGAATCACAATTTTTATCTTATCCTTTGGATGAGCTAGCATAGATCGGATTCAGATTTTTTTTTCAGATAATTGTGACAAAGAAAATGAAGTCCTCCTAAGTTTTTTTATTTTTTATTTTTTTTAGCCAACTGCCATTCACTGAGATAATAATCATGCAATTTAACAAATGGTTTCTGAAAGTGACCTTCACTGTTATTCTTGCCCTCCTCCAACAACTGGAGTCCGCACGAAAGGGGTTGCTTTATATTCTATCTTAATATATTTATGGAATTTTTCAATTAATTACATAAACAAATTATAACCAACCACGTATTCACTATTAATTTTATTGCAAAATTATTCAAACTACAACTGCTGCTTTCTTTCTTGACCGGACAAGCCACACCTTTTCTTTATTGACCAGACAAGCCACACCTTTTCTTTATTTATTTAGTTATTTATTTTAGATGAGGTGGTGTTGGGGGTCGAGGAGAATCTCCACTGCCCTGCTATATATATATATATATATATTTTTTTTTTTTTCCTCTCTTTGTTTTTTTGGTAGGGTTGTGGCAAGCCATACTTAGCCTATCGTTTTCTTGTCCTTTTCTGGATGGGCCAGGACCTAAATCCAGCTGGGCCAAACCGAGGAAGAATGCTTACTAACATGTTGGGCCTAATTGAGGCTTATAATTGGGCCTCCATGTATACCGCTCCGTCCCCGAATTGGAAAATTGTAAGGAATCGGGATTCACGATCAGACCCAAATATATAATTATTGTTGTTGTTATTGAGCGGAGAAAAGTTCAGGTCTTTTCCCAGCTTATGTTCCCTCGCTACGCACGTATTTCTGCTGATGACAAAAAGAACGAGTTGTTGTAATGGAATTGAACCCTGCACGGAGCAAGAAAATATAAAAATAAATTTTATTATCTTATCATTTTGTGTACAATTATAATATTTTATTTCATATTAATCTATGAACGTAAAATTATATTATATATAAAATTTGAAAAAATTTTATTAAATAAATTTAAATTTAAATATTTTAAATTAATAGTTCAAACTCAATAAATTATTAAATTCAGTACATCTCGTACTGTTATAAATTATACGATAATAAAAGATTTTCAAGATTCATTTTATTCTGTTGGACTATAAATACAAATATGTCTATCTACGTTATTTGTAAATATAAAATTATGTGATATATAGATCTTATAAAATTATTATTAAAATAATATAAATTTAAAATATTTTGAATTAATGATTAAGACTTAATAAATTGTTAAATAACTTTGATTTTTAGAATTTAATGTTATTGAAATTACTAAATAATTTATTTGATAAACATGAAATTATTTGTTAGCATAAAATACTTATAATTTAAAAAAAGGAACAAATGCTTGAAAAGTGAAAAACTGTTTTTTATGTAGTAACAAGTAGAATAAAAAAATTAGGCGCTTTTTAAATTTTCTTACTTACTGAAATCTACTGTTTGTCATTTTTTTATTTTAATTTTTTTTGGGTACCTTTTTTTGATTATTTAAAAAAAGAGGGTCCGGAAGAAATGAAGAATTGCCCTTTATGATGTGCTATGACCTGAAGTACTGTCCCTCGTATATGACAGAATGTAGGACCACCCAATATGTGAGGGGTTGGATTGCAATATGATGTTTACTCTGAGCCACGTTTATTTTACAACTTCCAAGCTTTACAATGCTATCATCTGCTCCAACCAATTTGGCTGAGCATAGGCCATGGTAGCCAATAATGTTCTGTAACTATTTTGCAGCTTTAAATACTTTTTGCTTCAATTATTCCCTTGAGGAGCCCCCCTTTGTTCATGGTCTCATTCAAGACAGCACTCAATTTTCTTCTCTTTTCTTTTCCTTTTTTTTTTTAATTAAATTCATTTACTTTCAATTGTGATTCATTTAAAATTTTTAAATATGAAAATGTATTTTGTCCCGGTATAAATTTTTAGACAAACCCCCCTCAAGTTTTTTTCAAATTAGTTTATTAATTTCAATTTCTTTTAAATTTTATTCTTATTGTAATTAAGAAAAAGAAAGAATGAATTACTTTAGGAACTTCAGTTCTTACCACCTGATCATTAAATCAGAGTTTTGTGTGCAAAAATTAAAACTTTGGACTAGAGATGGAAACAAGCCAAGTTAGGCCAAGTCAATAGTTAAATAGTTAAATATGCCCCAAGTTCGGTTGTGGCCTATGACCAACAGACTATATTTAGCCTGATTTGTTTGCCAAATCAGTAAGGTTTAACCTGACTTATTAATTTATCTAGCTAAATTAATCAAACATAAAAAGGTTTTAAATAAGTTAACAAGTTAAAAGTTTGTTAAGTTCTCGTACAGGTCCTATTTTATATAAACTATTAAAATTTGTCATTCATTGAATTTTTTTAAAATAAATTATCAAATATCAAATATTAAATATTATATTATACATGTTTATAATATAAGCTGGCCCAGTCTATAAAACTTACAGCTAGACTAAAATTTAACAAGTCAATTATATTAAATAAACAAGCTATCTTTTGAATCAAGGTTTGATTTACTTAGTTAAACAAATCAGATCAGACTAGGCCAAGCCATACATGGTTTGCAAGCAACTTGGCTAACTTCCACCTCTACTTTAGACTCTTACTATAAGGACCAATTCCAAAAGAAGTTCAACTGTGAGATAAAAAGTATAATTAACCCCCCCCCTCTCTCTCTCTCTCTCTCTCTCTCTCTGTGATAGGAATAGAAGACTGGGCTTCATGAAGTTG